CGGCGGTGCACGCCCCTTCACCGCCCTGTACTGCTTGACCATCGTGTCCTTGAACGCAGCAGCCCACACAACCTGGCTTGGCGAGGGCAGGGGAGACAACGAACGGCGACGCTTCACAAGGGATCGATTCATCGTTCTGAGGAGGGGGAAGAACGAGGAGGAGGGGGATAAGAGAACGAGGAGGAGGGGGAGAAGATGGCGGAGGGTGAAGAACGATGAGGAGGATGGAGCGACGGAGGCGAAGGAGGCGGAGGATGATATTGAGGACGACGGACGGTTGCAATTGCGACGATCAAAGACGAATCTGCAATCGGAAAGACGACAGGACGAGTGCGAGGGGAGGAGTACAAGAGTGCGAGGACGGGAGAGGACGACACGTGTGGCGAGGTCGCGTCGACGTCGGTGATCGCAAGCCGATCGTATGACGATAGTCGGCCATCGTCCAATGGCGCTCGATCGAGCGCCATTGGATGTACGCCCCGAAGCTCTCTCACCATCGTCGTCATCGGTCGTCGATCGTAGTTGTCGTCGAGGTCACCCTCCCGATCCTCATCGTCATGACCTCCTGCTCCTGCTCCTCCCGTTGTCGAATCCGCTCGTTTGATCGCCTGGTGCCTACACTGCCCTTCCCTGGTCACTAGGAAGTGTTGGCATCGATCTCGATCCTCTTGCTCCTCCTCCTCCCTCCTCCCTCCTTCTCTCTCCTCCTCCTCCTCCTCCTCCTCATCCGTCCTCCTCCCGCTCCTCCTCCCCTGCAGGGTCCTCCATCCTTCGCGTCCGCCCTTCCCTCCTCCTCATCATCCTCCCCCCCCCTCCTCCTCCTCTTCCTCCTCCTCCTCCTCCTCCTCTGCCTCTTCTTTCTCCCATCACTCCTCGGACCCTCCGATTCCTCCTCCTCTCCTCCTCCTCCTCCTCCTCCTCCTCCTCCTCCCTCCTCGATCCTCATCGTCCTCATTCTCCTCCTCATTGTGCCTCCATGCTGTACTGGCTGAAGCGCTCGCCTCCCGTCGACGCGTCGAGGTCAGCGAACATCGCGTGGTACACCTCGGGTCAACTGCTCTTTCCCTCCCGTCCGTCCCCTCCCAGACGGCCACCTTGTGGCCAATAACCAGCCAGAACTGATTTCTCGAACCAGATCCATATGTTTGACCAGACACCAGCATGGCATGGGATCGAAGGTCGCTAACCTTCGAAGGTTAGTCACCTTCGATCCCATCGGAGGGGGGGATAACCTCGTCGGATCCGACGGGGTTATCCCCACCCGTCCGTCCTCCTCCTCCTCCTACGCCTCCTCCTCCTCCTCCTCATCTACCTCCTCCTCCTCATCTACCTCCTCCTCCTCCTCCTCCTCCTCCTCCTCCTCCTCCTCCTCCTCCTCCCCCTCCTTCTCTTCCTCCCTCCTCGATCCGCCCCCTCATCCTCCTCGATCACCCTCCCAACCCTTCCTCGATCCCTCTCATCGATCCCCTTTCTCCTACCACCCTCCTCCTCCTCGATCCTCCTCGACCGCCCGACCCCGCCCCCTGGTGCCTTCAAGGGGGGTGGAGGGTATTAGACCATCCAGCCCGCTGACCAGCAGCGCGTCGCTCGAGATGCGGTCGGCCGAGCTGGCCGCTGGGTACGTGGAGAAGTCGGGGATGGAATAGCCTCGGGGGGGGGGGTCGCATCGATCCTCGGCCTCCCCGCGTCCAGCCCCGACGCGTCCTGACCCTCATCGGGGGGGATGGAACATGAGGAGGAGGAGGAGGAGGGGGAGGAGGAAGAGGAGGAGGAGGGGGAGGAGGAGGACGAGGAGGAGGAGGAGGAGGATAGAGGATGAGGATGAGAAGGATGCGGAGGAGGAAGAGGAGAACTGAGGGTGAGGGAGAGTGGGAGGTCGTTAACGCATCTTCCTTCACCATCGTCTTCCTCGTCACCATCGTTCTGGTGTTCGTTATCATCGTCCGCATCGTCACCAGCGTCCTTGATCGTCCCCATCGCCCTCATGGATGAGGGCAACGAGAACGATCAATCAATCGTCCTCAATCGTTCTCAATCGTTATCATCGCTCTCGAGGGCGATGCTGACGATGAGGCCGATGATAGCGATGCAGGCGTGAGCAGCTCTCTCGAGGACGGTGAGGGCGATGAGGACGATGGCAATCGTCCTCATCGCCCTCATCGTCCTCATTCGTTATCCTCGCGTTCATCCTACGCTTCGGCCGCCGTCGACAGTTGCATCGTCCTACCACTTAGCAAGTGGGAGGGGGAGAGGGGCATCAGGGGGAGCTGGAGGAGGAGGAGGATCATGAGGAGGATAATGAGGAGGGGGAGGAGGAGGAGGAGAAGGATATGGAGGAGGACAGCGGCCACCCCGAGGCAGAACGGTGCAATTATATCCATCCCTCCTTCCCTCCCTCCCTCCCTCATCCCTCCCTCCCTGGATCCCTCACTCTCGCCACTTCCCTGATCTCTCCATCGATCCCTGGATCCCCCCCCTCCCTTCCTGATCCCTCCCCCCCTGGATCCCTCACTCCCTGATCGTCGTCATCCCCGCGCCGTCGATGCTCACCACGTCGTGGATCTCCACGGCCGTCTTCAGCGCCTGCGGGAATCCCCAACCAGTTTCGATCCCCCCTCGAGGGGGGAGGGGGGATCGAAACTGGTTGGGGATCGGGCTTTGGGGATCCTCATTCCTCCTTCCTCGAGGGGGAGGAAGGAGGAGGAGGAGGAGGAGGAGAAGGAGGAGGAGGAGGAGGACGAGGAGGAGGAGGAGGAGGATCAAGGAGGAGGAGGAGGAGGATCAAGGAAGTGGAGGAGGAGGAGGAGGCCTCAGGAGGAGGAGTTGGGCAGGCTCGAATATTTCAGAGTATACTCTGAAAGATTCGAGGGTCCGCTCGCCTCCGCAGCCGCGCTCTCGATCTGCGGCGTGAGCTTCACAGTCGGGACCCGCATCGGCATCCTCTTGGCGCCCATCGCCTGGCAAGGCGCATCGGGCGCAGGAGGAGGAGGGGGAGGAAGAGGAGCAGGAGGAGGAAGAGGAGGAGGAGGAGGATCGAGGAGAAGGCGGATCGATGACGAGGAGGATCGATGAGGCTGAGGAGGAGGAGAGCAAGAGGAGAGCAGGAGGAGAAGGAAGGAGGTGAAGGAGGAGGATAAGAAAAATAAGGAGTGGGGCCCCTGAAGAAGGCCCCTGAAGGAGGATCGATCGATCGATCGAGCCGAGGAAGAGGAGAAGGAAGAGGAGGAGGAGGAGGAGGAGGAGGAAGAGAAGGGCCCTTCCCCTCCTCCTCCTCCTCCTCCTCCTCCTCCTCCTCCTCCTCATCCTCCATCCTATCCTCCTCTCCTCCTCCTCCTCCTCCTCCTCATCATCATCATCATCATCATCATCATCATCATCATCATCATCCTCCTCCTCCCTCCTCTCTCCTCCTCCTCCTCCTCCTCCTCCTCTCCCTCCTCCTATCCTCCTCCTCCCTCCTCCTCCTCCTCCTCCTCCTCCCTCCCCTCCGCCTCATCCGGCCTCGAACGGGTCTGGGCCGATGCCCTCGAGGGTATCGCATGGTTGAGGATGGGGCTGAGGGATCCCTGAGTTGAGGATCGGGCTCAGGGATCCCTGAGCCCGATCCTCAACCATATGTTCGATTCTTCCCTCCTCCTCCTGAGGGCTCCTCCTTCATCCTTTTCCTCCTCATCCTTCTCCTCCTCCTTCTCCATCTCCTCCTCCTCCTCCTCCTCCTCCTCCTCCTCCTCCTCCTCCATTCGATCTCCCCTGGGCCTGCAGGCCCGCATGCGGCGCCGCGCGCGGCAGGCGCGCTGCCGCGGGGCCGCGCGGCCCCGCGGCTTCGAGCCCCGCGGCAGGCGCGCGGCGAAGTCGCGCGCGCCGTTCCCCTTCGCGCGTAAGCGCGAAGGGGAACGGAGCGCTTGATCACTATTATCTTCGCGCCTTCGACATCGGCCAGCTCGAAAAAATCGAGATGGAGGTTTTTCGTCGTTTTCGGCTCGGGGGCCTCGCTGGGCCTCGGGACCGTCAAAAAACAACTCGGGGCGAAACACGTCGGGATCCCGTTAACTCTGGAAAAAAACTCGAGACGTCGGATGCCTGGGCTTGCAAGGGGGGGGAGGGGGAGAAGGAGAGGGGAGAGGCGAGGGCGGGCGGGAGGGGGAGGAAGGAGGATGTGGAGGGAGTTGGAGGAGGCGGAGCCCCGAGTGTTCGAAGGATCGGCGGAGGAGGAGGAAGGGAGGAGGGAGAGGGGGCTAGGAGGCTCGAGAAGGAAGAGAGGGAGGGGGAGAAGGGGGTATGGAGCTGGAGGGCGGAAGTTAGAAAGAGTGAGGATATTTTTAGCTGAGCGAAAGCGGTCGCGGTCAATCTCCATGACGCCGCACGAAGAAAAGACAAGGCGGCGCACAAGAAACACATATTACAGAAAAACACGACATCTCACACAAAAACAAGACATCTTACGAAAAAACAAAACATCTCACAAAAAAACAACACATCTCACAAAAAACAAAACATCTCACAAAAAAACAAAACATCTCACAAAAAAAACAAAACATCTCACAAAAAACAAAACATCTCACAGAAAAACAAAACATCTCCCAGAAAAACAATGCATGCACCAGTAAAACAATACATAACCCAAAAAACAATGTCAGCGAAAAAAACAATGCAAGAACCGCCGTTTTGTAAAAAACAAAACCACGGAATGTCAGGGATCGGCAGTACCTCATCGACTCCCAGACGCTAACCGACGTTAATCGACGCTAAGGACGGACTTACGAGTGTATACCAGGCCCCCGTGATTTGCCACCGAAAGGTCGCCGGGGTAGCGGCGGAAGCAACGTGAGCCGCAATCCGCAAGGCGGAATCACACTTCAGCCGCACCCCCCCCCGGGGACAGTGTGGCAGGACCCAGGCAGTGCCTGGCCATCGCTCGGACGTCCATTCCCTGTGTTTTTTTCGGTTTCGTGCGTGGTTTTTTCGCCAAATGATCAAGGATGCTCCGCGATGGTCCTCGCCGAAAAAAAATGCACACGTCCGAGCGATGCCAAGGTGCAGTACCATTCGGCCCCCCCGCTCTGTGGTGCGCGCGCCCCTGCGTGGCGCTCTGCCTTCCTGGCGACGACAGGCCACGGAGGCAGCCGAGAGGCCGAGGCAGAGGGGCGCGCCAGCTTCCACGCCAGGCCGCTCCCTCCGGGCGACGGCATCCACACGTGCCCGCTGCCCCCGGCCAGGGGCCCACCCTCCGCCCGGGAGCGGCGTCGGCGCCCTCCTGTCTTGGCCGGGGAGGCACGCACACCGCTCATGGGCCAGGAGGAGGAGGAGGAGGAGGAGGAGGAGGAGGAGGAGGAGGAGGAGGAGGAGGAGGAGGAGGAGGATGGGCCGGGCCTGGAGCACCGGAGGAGTGCAGAGCTCGTGGCCCGACCCCCCCCTGCCGACTCGGCAGCCACGGCCCCGAGAGCTGCACAGTCACGCCGCTTCGGTGCAGGCGCTCATGATCGACCCGAAGGCCCCAAAGGTGGCCCCCGACGGCTCCTTCTCGAAATTCTTCGCAGCCGGCGTCCTGGCATGCATGGACGGCCCCGCGAACTTGTCAGCAGTCTGCTCTGCGCGGCTGTTCGCACCTCCAGGAGAAGGGGGCCGATGAGGAGGAGGTGGAGGTCGAAGTGGAGGAGGAAAACAAGGGGGATTGAAGAGGAGGTGAAGTCGCGGTCGAAGTGGAGGTCGAAGTGGAGGATGAGGTGGAGGTCGAAGTGGAGGAGGATAACAAGGGAGAGGAGGAAAACATTGGGAACTGGAGCCGGCAAGCGACAAATCATACTTGGAGTCAGCAAGGAGGAGGAAAAGAGGGAGGGAGTCGGGAGCGAGCGAGAATGGAAGAGGGAGTTGTGATGAAGGAGTTGGGAGGAAGGATGAGAGGCGGGAGGAGGAAAGCGGAGGGTCATAAGGATCCCGCTCTCCTCCTCTACCGCCTCGTCCGCCGCCTCCTGCTCCTCCTGCTCGTGCCTGGCCACCGTTTCCTCGTTCCCCTCCTCGTCGTCAACGTTGCGTCGTCGTCCTCCCCCTCCTCCTCCTCCTCCCCCTCCTCCTCCTCCGCCTCCTCCTCCTCCTTCTCCGTCTCCTCCATCTCCTCCTCTTCCTCCTTTTGCCCCTCGTCCTTCATCTCCTCCTCCTCCTCCTCCTCCTCCTCCTCCTCCTCCTCCTCCTCAAGCTGTCGTCCCGCTTGGGGCCCGCAGGCGAGGGAAGGGGCGTGGGGGAAGCAGGGGAGGGGGGGAGGAGCAGGAGGACGAGTAGAAGAAGGACACTTACGTTCTCATCGATGGCTCCCCGATATGGCCCCCATCAGCCCATCACGGCTCCCAACTGGGCCCCAGGCGAGCCCAAGGTGGCCCCAAGAGGGCCCCAAGAGGGCCCCAAGTGCCTCCAAACTACTGCAGATATCGAGCCCCACGGTGGCCCCAAGATGCCTCCAGGGGGCCCCCAGAGCGTGACTGAACGCTGCTGCACGTCCCTGATCAGGGCAGCTCGCCTGCCGATCGACTCCAGATGGGCTGGTAGGGGGCACTCGAAGCGCCAGGCGCAGCTGAAGGCCACCGCACTCGGACGACTCGCTCTCTCCCTGGAGCCTCCGGCCCATTGTTGCCTTGCCGTCCTCGCCCTGCCGGCGACCCACCCGCGACGCAACCCGCGACCCACCGCGCGGCCCACCAGCACGGCGTCACGCGGCGGGCTCCTGGACGTGCTCAGTTGAGCCTCGCAGACCGCCGACGACCCTCCCCCCCAGCCCCCCCACTCTCATCCTCAACCGTGGGGGCTACGGTAGGAGCTCGACCACAAGAGACCTTCCACACAAACGACCCAGCCCTGAGACACCAGTGGGTCCATCGATTGTTGGCGCGGGAGCGCCACGCTTTCCATCGCAAAGCCATCGACACCCAAGAAACCCAGGGCACCCTGGAGGCAAGCAAGGGTGCTTCTTGGCATGGGTGTCCACTGTATTGTTCAATTGACTTTCGGAGGCCTGCGTGGACTCCATGACTCGGCATCGGGCTCCTCGCGCGCAGGGGCCGGAGGCGCCGCCACAATTGCGGGGAGGGTGGTCCAGCGCCGACCGAAGACATTCGCGCGGACCTCCGAAAATGTTAGGTACGCTTGTTGCGCTCTCTGCTTGTCGGGATCTGGGTCTCGAAGCGGTAGGATCTGTCATCGGGTCATGAAACTAGCCAGGATCGGGACCTGTTGTGTGTGCAAAGTCAGAACCACCATTTAGTCATGTTTGTATGCGTGTGTGGTTAGTGTGTGTTTTGTGTTTTTCCGTCCAGACTTGTTTGTGTGTTCGTATGTTGTTTGTGTGTTTCGCTGTGTTGTGTTGTGTTTGTTTGTGTTTTCTCGCGCATGTGCCGCAAGGGTCTGGACAGTCACGCAGGGGAGGAAGGAGGAAGAAGAGAGGAGGGGAGTTCTGATATCAAAGCCTCGAGGGCCACCTCTGGGGCCAACCGAGTGACGGATAATGGGGGCAAGGAGTGGCTAAGGATAGAGAAGGAGGGCGACGGATAAGAGCGGGAGGGGAGCGCGAGCGGCGCACCGAGGAGCAGAAGCGGAGAGAAAGGAAGTTCTTCGGATGATCATGCCAAGAGACGGGCGAGGTTGATGACTAATTTAAGGCTCCTGCATTGGATCGGGCTGTATCGGCACGTAGGCGGAATCGACTCGGAACGGCCGCGCCAAAATGCACAAGAACGCCACGCAAATAGCGGGGCGCCGCGGCGGGCCGCACTGGATCGCTGGAACGTCGGACACGGATCGGGTCGGGCCAGCCGAATTCGAGATCACATCGGATCGATCGTAAGGAAATGGAGCCGGAGTGGTAAGGCGTGAGACTTCGAGTTGCACACCGACTGCCCCCCATGTAGCCCCTGGTGGCCGCAACAGGCCCCCCAAGTATTGTGTTGCTCCCACCGCACCTGACGAAAACACCCCAGAAACAATTTCGGACGACCAGCAACGTATCGAAGCAGTGTCGAACGAGTATCGCCCCCCAGGGCCCAACATGTGAAAAGCCTCCAGTTTCGGTACTTTCCTGGTGCTCGAAGTTCTTCCTGGTGGTCGAGGCTAACGCAGGCTGGAACATCACCACCCCATCCCTGGGGAGCAGAGCGCCCCACGGCCGCCGTCGAGGCGGCGCCACGCTGTTGAGACCGCCTGCTGATGTCCACTGGGACTGCAGTAGGAGCCCGACCACAGTCGGGAACGGCCAAAGCGGGGGTGACCCCGAGTGGAGGCATGAGTTCGATCCGCTGGTGCACCGAACTGCCGAGAACAGATGCCCCCCGCATGCCCGACATATCGGCAACTGTTGGGAGCTGCGGGCGGCTGGGGGGGCATCCGTTTTTGGCGGTTCGGTGCAAAAACGATCGAACTCACACACACACACACCCAGGGGCACACACCCCCTTTGCGGGATCCCGACACAAGAAACCGTCCACAAGAAACCCAATCCTGAGACCCCAGGGCGTCCATCGACTGATTGTTGGTGTGGACGCGTCACGCTTTCCATTGCAAATCCATCGAAACCCAAGAAACCCAGGGCAGCCTAGAGGCAAGCAGGGAGCGTCTTGGCATGGCTTTCCACTGTGCCTGGGGGGCCCTGTTGAGGCCAGCTGGAGCTACTTCGGGGGGCTGCTTGTCCGCAGCCCTAAGCCTTACCAGTGGGAGGGAGGAAGGGCGGCCTCTGATCTCCCACTTCAAGGACTCGACGTCGACGCGCGTAGCTGGCCCCCGGAGCTGCAAGCAACCGTGCACGAAGTCTTCCAGGGAAACGCGGCCCGTGCGGTCCGCGTCGAGGATCTCGGGAAGGGGGGACGGGAGAGGGGAGGTCCTCCTCCTCCTCCTCCTCCTCCTCCTCCTCCTCCCCCTCCTCCTCCCCCTCCTCCTCTCTCTCTCTCTCGCAACCCCCCACGTCCTCGTCTCCCTCCATCACCTCATCTATCGCCTCCTCCTCCTCCTTCTCCTCTCCCCCCTCGTCCTCCGCGCCCATCATCACCTCGTCTTTCGCCTCCTCATGCCTCCTCCTCGTCCTCGTCCGTCTCGTCTTTCGCCAGCTCATCGCCCTCGCCCTTCCACCCTCCCTCCTTTCCTCCTCTCTTCTCCTCCATCTCCTCCTCCTTCTCTTCCTCGTCCTTCTCCTCCACAGGGCGGGTTCTTTTTTAAAAGGCAGCTCTCGCCTCAGCGCAGCTTACAATCGTCATAAACGTTTGCACCAGTTCCGCGAATGGCGGTCAGGCAGGTTTCAGAATGGGGCGCTTTAGCTCCTCGCGCATTCGTCTTAGCAGCTTGCAGCAGTTTCGAGAATGACTTGCGGTCCCTTTTCAAAATGTGGTTCTCGCCTTAGCGCCGCCTCGCACATTAGTCCTGGAGGTTTGCAACATATTCCAGGCGTCGCATGGTCGAAATCCAAAGGATGCGTCTTCTCTGGCAAAATTAGCACTGTCAGGACGCAACAATCACGTTGATTCGCTGTGTTGAAGCGCAGGACCGGCAATACGGCACGATTTAGCTTGTATGGACGCAGCAATCACGCTAATCAGCGACTCTGAAGTCCCAAGAACCGCGTGTCGGCACGATGGAGGATTCTGAGGTGCATTTCCCGCAATGGAAATAATTCATTGTTGGGCCCTGCGGAGAAGAAACTTGGAGGGAGGGTTTATTGCAACATCGTCAATGCGTCTTGGGATTACAATGGTCGTTGTCCTTGATGGGAAACGGGAGTCCATCGGATCCTACTCCTGTTATACTCCCGGTTTCAAATTATGATCCCCTCTCAAAATGATCTGCTGGACTCCCGGTTCAGATTCTGGGCCCCTCCCCAAGGGATTCTGATGGACTCCCGTATCAGATTGTGGGCCCATCCCAAATATCTGATGGACTCCTGCTTCAAATTGTGGGCCCGTCGCTAGGATCCGATGGACTGCCGATTCAGATCGCGGACCCCTCCCAGGAATCTGATGGACTCCCGTTTCCAATTCCGGGTCCCTCCCAGGGGTCTCATGATGGATTCCCGGGCCGGATTTGGGCCCGCGAGAGCCCCCCGAGAGCGCCCCGAATTCCAAGAGATCCCTGCAGACTCTGACCCAACACCCACATACTCGCCATCGCTCGGACGTCCATTCCCTGTTTTTTTTTCGGTTTCGCGCGTGGCTTTTTCGCCACATGATCAAGGATGGTCCTCGATGGTCCTCGCCAAATGAACAATGCACACGTCCGAGCGATGCCAAGCATATGCTCGCGGGACAGGCCGAGTGCCCTTTTCGGCAGAAGGCCCCCAGCAACATCCAAGGGGTCGGCGGATGTGGCGTACGCCTCTAGAGTCAGGAATCTGGGAGGTCTGGCGGCGCCCATGATTAGAGCCGGCGTCGGAAGGGAAGATGGGGAGGGAGTACGAAAAGGAGGGGGGGATAGGCCCCAAAGAAGTCCCCAAGAGGCCCAAAGAAGCTCCCAAGAGGCCTCCAGGAGGCCCCCAGGAGGCTCCCGAGAGGCCCCGCGACGACGTGACTGCACGTGCTCTGGACGTGCACCCCGCGAAGCGAGAGGAATCTGGAATCTGGGAGGTCTGGCGGGTCTGGAGGATGTATCGGGCGCCGCGGCCGTTCCAGAGCGCCCCGGAACGCTCTGAGGGCGCGTCGGGCCTCCCCGGAACGATCGATCCCACTCATCGCCCCGCCCGACAACGGGCACGCCGATCTGGGATCCATGGGCGGGCCCGGCCTGGCCTTGAACAGCTTCCATGTCTGCTTCGCGTCGATGTCCAGGGCTTTGAACCTGAAGGGGGGCCTCTCTCGAAACCACCAGTGCAATCCGCTCACCCAACTTCTGCGGCAACTCGTGGGGCCTCCCATACAATATTGGTGGCTATTGCGAATCAGCGCTGATCGACGCTAATCGACGCCAGCTGGCGCTAATCGACGCCAGGTCGGCGCTACCCCATCGATTACACTGGACGCTAATCGACGCCAGCGCGCTGGAACGAAAGAGTTATGAGGGGCTACACTTCTCCCACGATTTGCTACCGATCTCTTTGTTTCAGACCAACCACACCGTGATTTTTTCACCGCGGACCAAGGATGTTTTCTCCTGGCCCGTCGTCTCCACGGCCCCCGGGGGCCCGAAACGCACCTCCAGAACTGCGAACATCTCGACATCGGGGGCCTGGGTGCTCTCGTCCAGCCACGAGGCAGACGACGGATGGGGACAGAAACGAGGGAACGACCACCAATGTGGACAATCGCCCGGGCGTAACAGGGCAGGGTGGATGACGCCACTGCCACTGGATCATTCAAGCTTAAAAGGAGCAACCAGGGACGGCCTATAACGCATCAGCGTGAACACTTGGACGTCCGCGCGGGTTGGTTGAATCGGCGCTTGGCCCCCCTTTTCATGCCCCCCCTGGTGACGTGCCAGGGGCGGCGCCTGAGGCGACGCCAGGGGAGCCCAACGCCAATACAAGACATCGGCCAGAAACCGTGAGCTTTTCTGTTCACGCAGCTTCGTATCCTCGGTGGGCCCTAACAGCGGTGCGGTAGCGGTAAAACGGGTGAAAAACGAGGTGGCGGTGATCCCCTTTCTTATGGGTGGCGGTGCCAGTGGCCCTGTACGCAAGGCACCTGCCACTCCAAGGAACTTGATGCCCCATGGTGGGTGTTGCTGGGTTCTTCTGAAGGGGCTCAACGCCTGAGCCCAAAGCCCTAATAGCGGTGCGATTGCGGGACACTGGGAAAAGTGAAGTGAGGTGATCCCCCTTTCAAGGTCGCGCTGCGCTTTCTGGCCGCGGTGGGCGGGGCGGGTGCTCTGAGGAGTTGAAGGGTGCGTCGCCGCCGCTGCCGGACCCTGTCCCCGCGCGCCCGTTCTCTCTGGACCAGGGGTCACCTGATCCCGACCGCCTGGCCCAGACGGCGCCTGTCCGCCCGACCCCGCGCGGTTCCCGACTGCGTCGCCTCTCTGCGACGGCGCTGCGTCGCCCTGGGGGGCGCGTCTGGGGTGGGCCCGGCGCCCTCCTCAGCGGGTCTGCGTGCCCCGGTCTGGTGGCCCAGTGCGGCCTAGCGCCTGCTTTTGGCAGCCAGACTGGCGGCTCTCCTATGGCCCGAGCCCGCCTGTCTGGGCTCGGAGCCGAGGGCCTCTCTGGCATTCCCTGGCCGCCCTGTCAATGGCGACTCGGGCACCTCCGCCCTCGGCGCTCCATTGGGAAAGCACTGCGTCGCACTGGAGGACCGCCCCGCCCGCGCGGGCGCACGGCGGCTCTGCGAGCGAATGCCCGCGAGGCCCGCCGCGAAGCCTGCGCGCCTCGAGCGGCGTCGGCCCGCGAGGCGCAGCCGCGCGGACCTCCGAAGGGACAGCGCGGCCCCGGCCCAAGCAGCAAACGGCTGCACGTATGCAGCGAGCCCGATGTCCCGATCTGGCTACGACCAGGCAGGAAGCGGCGCGCGCAGCCCCGAAGACCTGCCCGCCCCCCACAGGACGCATTCCCCCGCGAGGGCGCGCCCCCCGTCGAGCGCTTCCCCCCCCCAGCGGCGGAAGGGAATGGCGGGCGCGCGACCGGGCGGGCGCCGTCGCCGCGGGCGGGGGTCCACGAGTCTGCGGGGCTTCGCTCCCGGGAGGGCGCCCTCCAGCCGACGGGGGGCCCGGGCCGTCCAGGAGAGCGCGCGGGCAGGCGTACGCGGAGGTCTCAAACCAGGGTCGCGCGGCGACCCGGCAGTCTCGACCGAGCGGCGTTCGGACAGACAAACGCGGCGGCCCGCGAGCCCCCGAAGCCCTGCCCGCGCCGCGGGGCCCATCCACTCCACGAGGGCGCGCCGCCCCTCCGAGGGCCCCGCGCCCGCCCGCGGCGGCAATTCGGCGCGCGCGGACGGGCGAGCGCCGTCGCGGTGGGAGGGCGCCCGCTGGTTTGAGGGCGTTGGGACTGCCCAGCGGGCGCGCCCCCCTCTGGGCATCCGCCGGGCGCGCGGCGGCCGCTTCCGGCCGCGCGCGGCCCGCCTGCCCCCAGGCGCGAAGCTGCGCCCGCGCCCGACGCGCTCCGGGCCCACCACGGCGGCCGCCTCGCGCGTTGCCCCGCCGGCGAGGCCCCGGCCCCAACTGCCCCTTCTCCCTGCCCGCCATGGCTGTCGTCAACCTGCCCGCGGAGCCTGGGGGCAGGCAATTGATCATCCTGTCGCGCTCTGCCTCGTTCAACATGGGGCAGCTCTCGGGCGGGCGGCAGGCGCGGTAGTTGCCCGTGAACTTGTCCTGGGGGAAGCGCCCACCCTCGCAGGCGGGGCGAGCGCTCGCGTCCCTGATCACGTCCTCGGTTATCCCATCATCAAGGATCGTGGGCACGTGTTTGAGGACCTTCTGCCAATCACCCGCGCTGCTGGAGTCGATGGTGCCCGCGACTGCGCCAAGCTCCCTCTCACACGCCCCGTCCACTTAGATATCTTCCCATCTCGCGGCGTTGATGACGGACGCCAACTCGGCCGTCCTCAAGACCGTCAGGGTGCCCACCTGCTCTGGGGTCCCATGGCCGACGTAGACCATGACCTTGTCCAGCGGGGTGTGTTCCTGGGACTGCTCGTCACGATCTGCCTCGCACCCTTCTCGTTTGCCATCTCTATGACGCCTTTCGCGATGATGGAACGCGACGGGAGATTATGATTTGATGCTCCCACGCGTCGGCGCCCTGTTTCTGATCACCTGCAGCCGTACATCGTGCTCACGCACCTCCGGTGTCCTCCAGGGCTGGTTCCCCCTGGCGCGTTGACCTGCGTCGGTGCCGCGAGACGTACCCACTCCTTCGGCTTCACGGGGGCCGTCCTGCAGCGCGGGCACACGTACATAATGTGTTTATCCCTCCCGAGGGCAATCGTGAAAACTGCTGCAACTCCCAGACGCTCGTCCTTTAGGATCGCCAGGCAAATTTCCCTCAGCCCGGCGTTCGGTACCACTGGACCGGACCGTCTTTGTGTTTCGCGAGCCCCGCTTCCATGGCGAACCCGATGGACCTGGCATGCTGCAGCGGCGACTTGTTACTCTGCTTGTCCTGAGGTTCAACCATCAGCGAGCGAAGAACGGTATAATATAAACTTTTTCGCTGTCGGGGGCGCCTGTGGAAAGTTCATACCCTTAGGGTGGCACCGTAGGGGCATGAACTTTCCAGCCGCCCAGGGACAGGCGCCCCCGACAGCGAAAAAGTTTATAGTATACCGTTCTTCGCCCGTTGAAACCAACCATTCGACCGCCGGGCTATCGGACCCTGGCCAGACCCAGCAACTCGCGTCGACGAGCTGCTTTCCCCCGTGGCGCCAGGAGCACGGGCAACGGCGCGAGCGCGTGGAGTCCGGGACTGTGTGGCTTGACGTCCTGAGGTTGAACCACTCGACCGCCGGGCTATCGGACCCTGGCCGGACCCAGCAGCTCGCGTCGACGAGCTGCTTGCCCCCGTGGCGCCAGGAGCACGGGTGCCGCCCGTGGCCTCCGCAACGTGCTCGTGCGCGGCGACCGAGCTGACGCCCCGGAACAATGGGATCTCGCCGCTTTCGAAGGCCGAGACGAGGAGCGATACGAAGCTGTGTTAATCTTCACGAATCGAGCGACACGAGTGATACGAAGCGATACGAAGCTTCCGGAGGCCAAGGCGAAGAGCGATACGAAGCTGTCTTATTCTTCACAGCAGTGGTGCGTGACCGGGTTGGTCGCGACAGCGTGGCCGACCACGCTGTCGGCCTCCTCTGCCAAAAGGGCGTCGCTTCCACCTTGGCGGTGCTCTCAGACGTCACGTCGCTCCTCGGATCTCCTGCCACCCCTCTTCGCCCGAGTGCGAGCTCGGCGACAGAGGGGGCTCTGCCGGAGGTCGTGTGGAGCGCCAGCCCGAGCTCTCGACACCCCTTTGCGCGGCCTCCTCCTGCTGCGGCATGGCTCCCGCCCCAGAGGGTCGTGTGGAGCGCTGCCGCACGCTCTCGACCCTCCGCCGCGGTCCTCTCGGGTCGGGCGAAAGGGGGGGATAGCAAAGGGGGGGGGGTGAGAATCAGCTCACGTAGCTGATGTTCCTTGCGCCCCCCGGCGCCGAAGGCGGCTATGTATCGAGGGATGGGCCCGGCGGAGGGGCCGAAACCAGCTGCAGGCAGCAGATGTCGTAAGCCCCCCTTTCCCAATCTCCCCCCCTTTCGCCCGGCCCGGTCATCCGCCCTGGTCCCCTCTGCGTTCCTCCAGCGCGGCAGCACCACAGGCGCCACGGGGGAGGAACGCTTCGCTCCGCCGCGGCGCGGCGTCGAGGGGCTGCGGCGCCCAAACATGATGCAGAAACGGCCAGCCACAGACGTCGGGCAGGGAAGACGCAAAACGCTCGTGTTGGCACACGCGGGCTTGTTGTTCGATGGCCTTCTGTGTGTCGAGGGAAGGGCTAGCTCTTAACCGGAAGAGGCTCGCTCTCGACCCGCAGACCAAAAAGTGTCGAGGGGAGGGGCCGTGCATCTGGCTACGGCAGTGGCTCCAGGAGGAGGCCGTGCCTCGGAATTGCGACGGCTGCACGTCGTGCTGATGAGATCGGCGTTGATCCGTGTCACCGCGTGGGCCGTTTGACATCCAACGACGCTGCTCTCCGATGGCGCAGATCGACCGATGGGATGAAGGCCAAGATCAGGAGGAGGAGGAGGAGGAGGAGGAGGAGGAGGAGGAGGAGGAGGAGGAGGAGGAGGAGTCGGCGGTGGACAAACCTCCCTTTAGTAAACCTCCCCTTAGTGAAAACGGCCTGGCACCGAAACCGACGGACCTGGACCCGCAAAAATGACGGCCGCGACGCCCTCTCGCGAACCGAAAACGGCCAATTCACCAATCGACGTGTCAGGGTAGGAGGTCTATCCACCCCCGAAGGAGGAGATCATCGGACCAGGACACATCGGGGCTCCCCGAGCTCCAGTGGTCTTGGAGAACGCCTCGGGCGCCGCGGCCGCCCGCAGCGCGCTCCGGAGCGCTCCTGGCACGTCCTGGACCGCTCCGCCAAGGATCTCTGTCCTCGGCCCGCCCGACCCGATGCCGGCCGCTTCCCTCGCCATCGCTCGGACGTCCAGTCCCTGTGTTTTTTTTGTCGGTTTCGTGCGTGGCTTTATCGCCAAATGATCAAGGGTGCTCCTCGAGGGTCCTCGCCGAGGGAAAAATGCACACGTCCGAGCGATGCCAAGTTCCAGAGGCCGCTGGCGGCGTGCCACCTCTGGATGCCCGCGCTGGGGCCGCCGCCGCGGCAGCGCGGCGCGAGCCTGCCGCAGGCGAGGTGGTCTCGTCAGCCTCTGGTCGGGAGCGGCCAAGAGGGGGGGCGTCCAAGAGGGGGGGGTGCAAATCATGACTGGCGGCATGTGCGCGGCCCAGCGGGAGGGCCGGGGACGTGATGAAAGAAGAAGGGGCGCCATGAAATCTGGGGAAATATCATGGCCCCCGCCATGATCACCCCCCCCCTAGTCATCACCCCCCTCTTTGCCGCCCCCGATCTAGGAGGATGGATGGGGGTGGCGCGGGGGGAAGGACGGGCTTGTGGCCGTGGCGAGGGTCTCCAGGAACCAGGACTGCACTTTCGGCTTGATCAGCTGGTTCTGGAGCTCGGCCGCCGTGAGGCCCGTGCTGATTGCTTCGGGATCTCTGTGCATCTCCTGCGCAGGAGGTGCGCGTACACCACCACCATTCCTGACCAAGGCCGTCCTGGGCCCGAATATGTTGTCTTCAACCAATGTGCTACTGTTCAGGGACGCTAGGTACGGAACGAAGCCCCTCTTCAAGAGCGCCTGAACGCGGGAGGCGCGCTGGAGGAACAATCATGGGGAGACTCACGGAACTGCAGGCCGTTCCGAACCCCAACTGTTCCTTAATTCAGCGTCTTGACTGTATACGCTCTCCTAGCCGAGACTAGGGGAAGCTGCGCACCATCCCATGGTCGCCAAAACCAAATCACGGCGGCTGTGGGCAATTGGCCCCCGCGCATCTCCCGGAAAAGCAACTTCAAGCGGTCCGCGTACATGTGCTTGTCCCTGAGCTGGGCTTCGATGGTTAGATCCAAATCTTGCTGAGCCCCCTCGAATGCATTCTGAACGAACACGCCGGTCACCTCAGTGGAAGCTGACAACGCAGAGGGCAATGTTTTCGTATGGCTTCCCACTTTTCGGCCTGTGAGTCAATGGCGTAGACGTGGAAACAACATCTGCTGCAAAAGCAAGGACACAAGCATGTGCAACCTAAGCAAAACCAATTGTGTGAATAGGAGAAGCGATATGAGCACGTTCCCTCGGGACAATAACTACGCCAATTCTAGCAACTGGCATGACATCGATTCGAAAGCGCATTTCACCATACTGAAAGCAAAGTCAAACCAGAACCTTCGCCCAGATGGCCCTGGTGAGGCCAGGGTAAGCCTGCAGAGGAAACGTCCCTTCGAAATGTGAAGGGGAACGGTCAAAAACGTTGATCGATGATCCTTGGAACATGTGTTAGTGCCAACGTGTCTTCATCCACGGAGCCTTCAATACAAATCAGGCGGCGCAGCGAGGGAAAACATAGGCTGCGCGCAGCGGCACCGACTTGGGGAAACACACGCTTGGGCTAACATACGTTCTGAAGCTCATCAAGCTGCGTGGCGGAGACCCGGCAACGAACAACGAGACATAACAGCTGGGATGAAGAAAAATGGTCCATTCACCAAACATTGGAAACTCTGGTAAACACTGCGCTGGGCGCTTCTAACAGCCATTAAGCGGGTTACGACGTTGAGTATGAAGAAATACACGAACACAACGTAGAGCAAGAACAAGATCATCCACATGGGGTTGTCCGTCCTCTCCAGCGGCGCGGTGAGCTCGTTCCAGCTAATGCCACCAGAAACTGCCATCCAAAGACTCAACATTGATCGAAACAAATCACCGAAATACGATACCAAATCCTCATCCTCAATCTGCTCGCCACCTGCGGTGTGCTCCGTCACTGCTTGTGTCAGAACGATTGCAAAGGAGTATACGATCATGAAGAGCAGCATCAAAGCCCAAAACACCGATTTGCCGGCGCACGCTATTGAATGCACAAGCATCCGCAAGGGCTTCAGTTGACGAAATGTTCGGACGAGTCGAAGCAGCCGAGTGAGGCGAAAAAGACGCAGGAGCTTCGCCGTTCCGCCGTTCTCGAAGAAGCCGGCCCTGTGGCCTGAAAACGCTAGCACTGAAAGCTCCAGAGCAACCTCGATGATCGCCAGAACCAAGATCACCAGGTCGAAGAAATTCCACAGTCTTTCCTCGACAAAGAACTCAAGTCTGTAGGCGTAGATTCGGGCCACCATCTCCACTGTGAACAAGAGCGTGAGAATGTAATTGGCTGCCGACAAGGCATCTAGCACCTGCTCCGAGCCTGACCCTTTGTAGGACGCGCTCGAAAGAACCTGGGTCTCAATGCCAACCAGCACTATGCTCCAGATGATCAGACACGCAAACAGCATGCTGAAGTAACGGCTCTTCACGAACCAGACGAGGGGCCTCGTGTCTATTGTCGCCGAGGCCGTGGAATCCCTGACGGCTCCGAGCGTCCTCCTCACGGCCCGGTTGAAATCTCTCTCTCCTCTCACCGATGGACAGAGGAACAAACAACGGCATCAACAATAAACAGAAACTGTCGGAGGTCCGCGCGGATTTCTCGGATCAACGCTGGCCTCTGCTCCATAAATGAACGCCGGGGCGCGCCAGGGTCGGCGCCGGGACCGTCGCCAGGGGGGCCCAGCGACGATCCAAGAAATCCGCGCGGGCATCCGCAACTTTGATTTATGTTTATTTGGAGAACAGAAAAGGTAATTGTACTGCTACTGCCTGGACATCTCCTTGGGTGTGTTCTGACCAGAATCTCAGCCTCATCCAGATGTGGCGGCGAAGGACTCCAAGGAGGCCCAAGAAAGCGAAGACGAGCCAGGGCAGAGGTATCAGTACCTCTTCCTCCTCAGATGCATCCAGTTTTTTGTCCCTCGGGATGGAGTCTGCATTCCGAAGGCGCCGTGGTCGCCAGGAACCCCCAGCCTGGGCTTGGGCTCCCTTTGATTATCTCAAGGGTCTGGAATGTCAAACCAGGCCTGCGCACATACGGCGTATGTGTGGAGCCGTTGGGCGTGCGGGAAAAGTGTAGGTTGGCATCCACTATCCTTCTGCTTCGCGTGCCCGAACGACTGTCGAGTTGTCGTTTTGGGTACAGTGGGGGCCCGACCAAGAAACCCAACCCTGAGACCCCAGGACGTCCATTGCTTTTTGGAGTGGGAACGTCGCGCTCTCCATCGCAAAAGCATCGAAACCGAAGAGACCCAGGGCACCCAGGAGGCGAGCAGGGTGTTTCTTGGCATGGGCCCCCACTGTATGGCAGCCTTGGGTGTGCTCGCCTGGGATGTGCGCAAGCTCGGCGGTGGGCACAGGGAGGAACGCAGAAGGGGCGGGCCTTCTCAGAAAGCTCGGCAAGCCTCGAGTCCCCTGAGCAGTTTTCCACGTCTTGTCCGAGGCCGCAGACTGTTTATCAGAAGAGAACAACGAAAATTACATAAACCATGAACAAACTCTTAGCGCTTCGCACAGATCTCCCGGACCCGCGCGGAGCGCGCCAGGGGCGGCGCTGGAGGCGCCGCCGGGGGGGGCCCGGCGCAGATCCAAGAAATCCGCGCGGAGCGCCAAAAGTTAATGTTTATGGCGCTTGTTCTTCGTCGACAGACAACGCGAGGACCTCTGAGGAGCCCCCACCGCTTTCTGCCGAGGCCTGCCCCCTCTCGCTTCCCCTCGGGGCACGCCGCAGATCAACGAGTCTAGAGCCGTGGTGCCCTCAAGGGAACCCTGGCCATCGCTCGGACGTCCATTCCCTGTGTTTTTTGTGGGTTTCGTGCGTGGTTTTTCGCCGAATGATCAAAGAATGCTCCTCGATGGTCCTCGCCGAAAGAAAAATGCACACGTCCGAGCGATGCCAAGAACCGAAGGGAGCCCCAGCCTGGGGGTCCTCGCCGCGCTGCCGGCGGTGTGGCGCGTGCGCACTGGGCTGCTGGCGATGGTGGGCGCGGGGACCACGCTGTCCCCGGCGCAGCTGGGCTCGCTCGAGAGCGGGATCACCTCGGGGGGCGTGGGCTGCCCAGAAGGGCTCGCCAAGAGAGGCTGAACACTCACGACGGCTAGACGTAAGAGTGACCCTGGGTAAGAGTGACCTTTGGTGCGCAGTTCTTGGGGGCGCGAGGGAGACACACCCAAGGGCGCGGGCCGCTGATATCGCATCGCGCTCGGCGATCGGGGGGAGCCCAATGAACCCGCACCAAAGGTCACTCCGGCGAAGGGTCACTCTTACGTGTAGTCGATCACGACGGCCTGGGGGCCGTCGCCGGGCCCCGAGGATGTCAGCTGCTCGACGCAGGGACCCCCTGCACGGGCATCTCACTGTCTTGCACGTCCCGAAGAGGGGGAACCCTTCGGATGGGGTCAGAGAAAGACGAAGGACATAAACAAGAACTGTCCGAGGTCCGCGCGGACTTCGTGGATCGGCGCTGGACCTCCCTCGCTGGCGCGTGGAGCGCGCCGAGGGCATCGCTGGATTCGACGCCAGGGGGCCCAAACGCCGACCCAAGAAATCCCAGCGGAGCTCCGCAATTTACGTTTCTGCCTGTTTTGCTCCCCGAGGAATAGGAGGGGCGAGGAGGAGCAAGGAGGAGCAAGGAGGAGGAGGAGGAGGATGAGGAGAAGGAGCAAGGAAGGGGGAGGGGGAGGGGGAAGTGGAGGAGGAAGGGGGAGGGGGAAAGGGGAATGTTCGGGAATGTTCGGCGACGGCGAAGTCGAGGATCGCACGACGAGCGAGCGATGGCGCCACATGGGCCCCGAGGCCTCCCGCGGCCTAGTGTGGCGGTTCTTTGCCCTGCTTCAGACACGATGAAACATATTTCCAATTTTTAGTGGGCTCCTGCCATTTATCGAAAAGGCCCTTAATACTACCCCCGTCAGTAGCTTTAGTACGACGGCCACACCTAGTGCACCACCAGAGGCTAAATTTCTCAGTGTAATGCATGATGTGGGTGGGGTGGATGGTTCTTGCACCTACGCGGATGGCTGTGCCCCTCTTCCGTTTGGACGAGGCGTTGCTACATTCTTTAAGCCATTGTTTAAGTACAGCTACTCCAGCGTTCCTACTGATTTGTTCATTCCATTTGCTACACTGCCATCTACATCGCGAGCGAACGAGGAGGTGGGGGCTAGACTCGAGGGCGGCACTCAACTCAGTCCTGGCCTGTTTACGCTGCTGTCTTGTTTTATCCTTTTCTGGGATCATGGCCTGGCTGTCGCTCTCGCACGCGTCGAGGTGCGCACGGATCAAGCGTCGCCAGACCAAGCGCTGAATAGCATGTACTCGGCTGTAGCACTGCATCTGTGCTTTTGGGATGTCGTGCTCAGAGGCGGCGTCGGACGCCAGCTCGTCGGCCAGCAAATTACCCAACCAAGCCTCGGCACTGACCTGCTTCTTGACCGCCTTCTCTGCGTCCATGTGGCTCGTGATGCGCCGCAGCTCGATATCCTTGGCTGGGTTCAACTCGGCAGGAGCTCCTACACACAGTGCGACATACAAAAGGTCCCAGATGTCGGCATTCCTCCTGCGTTGACCATGTCGAAGGTGTAGCTCTTTCTGCCAGCCTTGGACTGTAACGTCTGACTCAGTATGAATTGTGAGCGGTCCCGTTGGCGATCTGATCGCTTGTAGCACCGCCCGCAACTCCGCTCGATTGTTGGCCTGGCGCCGTCCAGGTAATGGTCCATGCTGCGCAGCTCGAATATTCCATTCTTCTTGGTAGTGGAGGCATACCCATGACCGCCCGCATCTGCGATATCTGCGGTCGCTCGATTGGGATCCTCCACTACCGTCCGTTGAAATAACTGTGGGGCCCGTGATCGTGTGGATCGTTTCGACGTTCCCAATCTCGCCGATGCTGGTCGGATTGTGCATTGTGGTGCGCTCTGGGGGAGTCGTCCATTCTTTCGGGCATAGACCACGGAGCCGAAAGCAGGGCATCACCTTCGCTCCCTCAGCAGCTCGATCCTTGAGTGTGTCTGATACTGTCTAATCTTCGTGGTCCTGCCGATGTGTGCAATTCTCCATATGCGATGGTAGTCGTCTGCAACTTCTCCACACGGGCATTTATCATCAGCATCTTCTCCAAAGCATGCGCGTCTCCTAGCTGGCGTTCACATGGCTGCGTTCGCTGCCGCCTGCAATACTCCAGCCTCTCGATGTTTGTCTCGGCGTCGTAGCTGATGAATACGTTTACGCAGATCCTTGGTGTCGATCCCCTTTTCCATGCCTTGACCGAGCCAGTGCTGAGAAGCTTTTTTCCCAGAATGCTGCTTGTTGGCTCTGGAGAACTGCGTGGATAACGTCCGTGGGATCTTTTCTGTGCGAAAGCTTGTCATCCTCCATCTGCCATTCATTGCCCTCAGGATCCAATCAAAGAACGGGCGACACAGGGGTCCCAGTTAACTTGCCATAACGAAAGTATGAGACTGCCGATCATTCCACGTCCTTGCCTCCATCGGCCCTGTGGCGTCTTGCCTGCGAGATTGTGGTAGATGGTACTCCAAGCACGGCAAGCTCCCTCGTGAAGATCTGGTCTATGGCACCACGTGTCGAACCATGTGCTGAGCTGCCCCTTCAAGATGCTGACAGCTGGGTCAGCTTGCTCAAGGTCCGGGTATGTTTGAAGACACCTTCCAGGCCAGTGCTTGCCAATAGCCGTTGCTGCTGATCTGCGGAGTTGTGTCGTGGCTGTCGGCGGTTCGCCATAGATCTTGGTGCCGCGCAAGAGCGAGGCGGTCGGGCCTTGCACCACAAGGATTCGTCGACGGTGCCGATGTAACCTGCAGGAGGACGAGGAAGAACAAGACTTGCAGGTGGCAGTGGTGAGTTGTAAAGGGCATGGCGGCAATGGTGAACTGAGAGATAGCAGATCGGCGGTCCAAGGCCCGGCAAAGCTGAGCTTTGGAACTGCCCTGGCGCGCAAGACCCTGTCTCGGCAGAGCCGAAGGTCGCCGAATTCAGCTTCGCGCTGGCGCCCGTGATGCGGCCCCTCCTTCGCGAAAAGGTCATCGTCGGCATTCGTTGACCATGCTCTCTTCCGCGGTCTCCTGAAGGCCAGCTACCTGGGAGGTCGCCGTCGGCATGGGGCCCCTTGACGGTTTTGATCACAACGGGTTTCACTGGGTAGACCTTGCCTTCCGACAGGACCAGCTCAGAAGACTGTCAGACGTCGCGCATTGAGCAGTGCCTGGTCTTCAGCTTCTCGTTGCAGTTGCTGATGTACGCCATGAGAACGCACGCAGTGGACCTCCTCGGGAGAGAAGGACCGCGCAGCAGCTGGCCTGCGGTATCTGGAGGCTGGGCCATTCCGGGCTCCACACATGTGCTTGTTCGCCTTTGGGATTCTGCACGTCTGGGCGTGGCTGCTGGCACTGGTGGCGAGAAATCCAGCGCGCTGGGATCCCAATGCCAAGATATATGGAGGTCTGAGGTACGACCATCACAGGCCGTCGGAGGAGCGCCATGAAGAGCGTCTTCACACGGCTCCTCCGCGTTTCCTGCCATGCCCGGAGCTGGTGGTCTCCAGGCTGAGTGTTTTCCTGTGCCCGCTGTTTCTTGCGCGTTGAGCTTTCGGCCTGTTGTGCGCAAAACTCTTCTTGACAAGCTCGACCCACTTCACGGTCTGCCTGTGCGCGGCGTGCCAGTGCAGGTGCCGAGTGTCGTGGGAGAGGCGGAGGTAACGGAGGCCATGGCGAGACCAGTTGCCGTCGGGCTGTCGAGAGGCGTCGCCGGAGCCCTCCGGCGTGAAGCCCTGCTTGCAGAGATAGCACTCCCGCCGCGGGTCTGGCTGCATCGTTACCTCAAAAGTCGGTGTGCCCTTGCGGATGTTCCACTCTTCGCGCCCCTCTGGATCGCGATGGTTCCTGAGGTGGCTGGCCCGCCTCCAAGACAGCTTGAGCATCGTCGGGGCAATCGCCTCAGCGTCACATTCCAAGCATTTCCCTGCTGGCCCCCGCGTTGTCCGCTTCCCGGCGGGGGGGGGGCCGAGGGGCCGGCCTCCGCGAGCTCGCCCCTCGTGGCCACGGTGGCTTGGTCTCCGCTCTGGCGAACAACGCTCCAGAAGGGCCAAGAAGACGTCGGCCGCGCCGGCGTCGCTGCGAGAACTTCCTGCCTCCAACTCGCGGCGCCTTCCTGATGGCTGCTGTCCGCTGATCCTCTGGAAGCCGCTTTGTCGCCGCCGTCGTGAAGAAGCTGCCCTTGGGTCTCAGGATACCGCAGCGGTCATCTCTGACGCCGACGTGGAGGGGCGGCTGCCCCAGCGCCGCCATCATATTCTTGTGCTCCGTCGGGGTCCAGCCCCAGCGAAACGCCCGCTGGGTGGAGCCATCCGCCTGTATTGTGCAAACGTTGGACGCGACCTGCTGTTGGAAGTGGCCCGCTACTGCTGCAATGCCCACTCCGTCGATCCGGCGTTCGTGTATTTATTTTGATGGCCGCTACATACTCCTTGAATGTAATCGGCTGCTCACCGTCCGCGTCCACGCCCTGGATGTTCTGCCAGTGCGGCTCGATTTGCTCCGGTCGGTTGGTGATGCATGCCGCCGGCTGCCCGCGCGGCGTTTTGGACATGGACGGACTCCAACCATTGAGGTTTGAACTGGCCATCGCTCGGACGTCCATTCTCTGTTTTTTTTTCTGTTTCGTGCGTGGTTCTTTCGCCACATGGTCAAAGATGCTCCTCGATGGTCCTCGCCGAATGAAAAATGCACACGCCCGAGCGATGCCAAGTGAATTGTCTTCTTTAGGGCGCGGAGACCGCGTGGGCTGCGGCAAAGGCCCCGCGCCCGCAGTCGCCCCAAGGCCGTCCCGGGGCCGTGCTCCCGGAAGAGCGCGCCAGGCCGTGTCCCGCGGCAGGCAGGGGCTCGGCCGCCCCCCCGGGTGCCTGCCTGGATGGGGGGCGCGCCGGAGGCCGCGCCGGTGGTCTGCGCCTGGCCCCCGGGGCTGCTGCCGCCGCGACGCTGCGGCCGCTGTGGCTGCCGCGGACATCTGGGCGTTGTAGCTGTAGCTGCCGCGGCTGCTGCAGCTGCCGCGGCTGCTGTAGCCGCCGCGGC